TTATATCTATATATATGTATATATATATATATATATATATTAGTATCTTGAATTGATTTTGTCCCATTCAAGCTGAAAGGAGTGTAGATGCAATTCCCTCTATTTAAAGAGTGTAATGTCCGAACCAAATGAGGAATTATCTGAATTAACCTTATCAAGTAAGATAAAGACAGAATAAGGATCTGACACATGCCCATCTTTTAATGCAGGGTAACTTAAAATTACGACGAGAATCACTTTCAAGTTTCAGAGATCAAAAACAAAAACAAAACAAAAAAATTTTTTGTGTATGTTTAACCGTTTAAAACCAAATAACTTACTAATTATGCAAAAAAAAAAATAAGAACTTTTTTATTTTGTCTAGAATATGAACTGAATAAAACTTTGGCTGACCTTATGAAGAAACTGAAAGCATCTCGGCTCTTTTCTCCAGAGTTGAAGAAGGAGCTTGAGCCGGAGCGGAGTCAGGTTGGGTTTGGCAGAGAAGGATCCAAGAAGTTTTAATATTAGAGATATACAACTCCGGTCTCCGGCCATACTGGGCAGAGCCTGAAGTAGGGATAGTTTAATCTCAGGGTCTGCAGTAGAACACGAGAGCTTACGGAGAACCAGGGTTAGGATACTAGAACTTAAACTGGCATTTTCCTAAACACAACATAGTATAACAAAGAATGATTAGATTGAAATAATTTTTTCAATGGTGATTGGTGTATCACCACCTGTTAAAGATAAAATGAGACTTAAGATCTAGGACAAAACTGTATAATTTAAGATCCCGATTCGAAGCAGGTATTTTGATTTAAAACATGTTAAATTCATTGTTAAAACGTTGACAAAATTCAAAGAAATAAACAGAAATACGGCAGACATATACTTCAGAAAACGCGAGAGTACGAGAGTAAAATAAAAAATAATAAAAAGATTGATCTTAGTAGTTCATGCAGAATACTTCGAAATATTTTTTTCTCAATAATATAACAGGGGTAAATTATACTATCTAACATGATTTACTTTCTCATCTTTAAATACTTTCCCCCTCAAATAAAAAACCTTTTTTCGCCCACACAACAATCAAGGAAATATATCCCCCTGTTTTGACCTAATTTACCTTGACGCATGCGAGCATGAGGTTCAATGCGAGGCCAGCCTCTTTAGCTAGTGTAGAAGACAGGAATATCGATGCTAGAAGAGGGAGGAAATCAGATAGAGATTTGTGTTCCATCTTGACTAACCCTGATAACCAATCCAACCTTAATCAATTAACAATAACAGTAACAGTAACAGTAACAGTAACAGTAACAGTAACAGTAACAGTAACAGTAACAGTAACAGTAACAGTAACAGTAACAGTAACAATGACAATGACAATGACAATGAAAATGACAATGACAATGACAATGACATGACAATGACAATGACAATAACAATAACAATAACAATTACATTAACAGAAGGTCTGAAAGGAAACCAAAAAATAAACCCTTAACAGTCTTCAGGGCACTAGATAAAAAATTAAACATTTCATATAACGAGATACAAAATAAAATTTGAAGTCCAACTGTCCGTTTTCCGTTTTCTGATTAAAACATGGATTTATTAAAATCGTTTTAAACTTACCTATACAAAATTAGAATGAATTAGTTTAAACTAAACCAACGTTCTAATGCAAGGAAAGTTAATTGCAGTTGCGTATATATAATTATATAATTCACATAATAGTTTCCTATGACCAAAATATTTCATTGATTTTTTATGTGAAAGATGGATCACATGTCAGGCTCCGACATCCGTCTTGTGTTTACATTATACCGCCCAGAGACACTGCAGTACAAAAGATTGGGTACACCTCTGATATAGCTTTCCTTGCATTTCAACCTTGAACTAACCTAATTGAGTCCGACTTTTGTAGTAGAACAGCAGAATAAGAGATTTCAATAGCTTTGTTCACGTGCTCATTGAAGAAAGGTTGTTTTGCAAAAACTACTGGAGATTTATCAATCCAAACTTTCTTCTCCCAAACCCTAGAACATTAATATGTTGTTTGGTGATACAATGGGAGATTTATCAATTCAAACTTTCTTCTCCCAAACCCTAGAACATTAATAGGTTGTTTGGCGATACAATGGGAGATTTATGAATCAAAACTTTCTTCTTCCTAACCCTAAAACATTAATAGGTTTTTTGGTGATACAATGAGAGATTTATGAATCCAAACTTTCTTCTACCAAACCCTTAGACCATTAATATGTTGTTTGGTGATACAATGGGAGATTTATGAATCCAAACTTTCATCTCCCAAACCCTTAGACCATTAATATGTTGTTATCCACAGCTGGAACTATCTCAAGAAATCCACCCTTCCAAAAAAAAATAAACGGTCAATTGTTTCTGTATTTAGGGCAGGCGTTCTTATCTTATAAAAATAGATTATGTACCAAAGTTCAGCTTTTTTAATGTGGGGGGGGGGAACGGGGAGGGGAATATTGAAGAAGGGATGTTTGATCTCGATTACAGTGTCTCATAATACCTGATAAACTCTGCTTTTCTCGCAGTAGAATCAAGAATATTGGAGTCGAAGGATAAACACTGGAGAAAGGATGATACAAGAACACCTATTTATAACAGATAAAATGTCAAATCTGAGTGAATTTCTCGTAGTAACCCCCCCCCCCCTTAACATTTTTATGACAACCTCGTACTGTCTTTCTTATTTTAACTTGACATAGCATAACATAATCCAGCGAGGTTGCAAAAAAAAGATAAAGTCCAGAAGAACTATATAAGCACGGGGACAAAATATTAATTATGGAATAATCAAATAAATATATTATTGAATAGATAAAATGAAAATATATATAATTTAAGAATGAATTAATGAATGAATGCGTGCATGAAAAAAAAAACGAATGAATAAATTAGTGATTTAAGAAAAAATAAAAGAAATACAGGAATAAAATAAATGAATGAAAGGATGAATGAATGAATGAATGAATGAATGAATTACCTGCTACCAATTTACTAAGTTTGTCTGCTCTGATCAACTCTAAACAGAACTCTACCAGATCTCCTTCAGTTCCAAGTGGAGCAGAGTCCAGTATAATAGAGAACATAAGCGCATGTGGATCCCAGTTCTGAACTAGGTCGGAGCTAATGAAACTACGGAGGAGGAGAAGAGACGGAGAGAAATCTAAACCAAACCTCGATTGATAAACCATAAGGCTTGTGAGAACAAGCACCTGGTCCTAAATATTAAAAGTTTTGCAAACTATTTTCAGTGTTTCCCATTTGTATTACAGCTTTAGAATCATAAGTATTCTTATAAGTACTGATTTAATGTTCAGATGTAAAAAAGCGAGTAGTCGTTGAACTACTTCTCAACAGTCTCTACCATACTTCAGTAGTAGTTCTACAATCCTGTCTGGTTCAGATACTTATCAATATTCATAAAAAACGGGACCTAATTCAATGAATTTGAGCTAGCTCGCTTAACTATCTACCGCCGGTTCAAATCTAGAACTACCAATTTAAGTTTAAGATTCAAAAGGTGATTTAAAATTAAACCGACGGTAGATGGTTCAGCGACCGCAGTTAATTAAATTCGGCCCCCGGATTCAAGATGACCTGAAGTAAATCATTTTCTTGTCTTTTCTGTACAAGTTGAAAGAAGGAGAAGAAGTACTCAAGGAACTCAGAAATACAGGTTCTAGACAATCAATCAATCAATCAATCAATCAACCAATCAATCAATCAATTTTTATCAAGCAATCAAAATTCTATCAATCTATCAACTAACAAAGAAAAAATCCAAGAATCAATAAATTAATCAATTAACTAATTTAATGATCAAAACCACATCAATTAATAAATCACTCTATTAACCAATCAATTAATTAATCTATTTATCACCTAATCGTTAATCTATCAAGCAGTTAATAGATCACTTAAGCTTTACATCTATATTTCAATCAATCAATCAATAAATCACCAATCAATCAATCAATCATCAGTCAATCAGTTAATGAATCTAACAATCTTTCAATTAACCAATTAATCCACCTGTCGTTGAATGGTATCCATGAGACCAGATCATTCAGAAACTTAAAATATTCGCTCTTTTCCTCACTCAACTGCAACACATATAATTTTGTCAATATGACATATATATATATATATATAGATATATATATAAATTGTAATATATCAAGGTTTCTAAAACATTTAAAATTTACCTCCCCTTTCCTTTTCTTACATCAACCTTTTACCCCCCCTCCTGACAGTTTTTATAGTCTGTACCTTGAGAATAGTTTTAAATAGAACTGCTCGGATTGGGGCAAAATGAATATGATAGTTTGGATCACAGAACAGATAAAGTAGAACAGGACGGAGTAGAACTAGAGCATGCTGCTGAACTCCAGGTACTGGGTGGGATATCAGGATCAAACACTAAATATATAATTTTAAGAACAGGACGGAGTAGAACTAGAGCATGCTGCTGGACTCCAGGTGCTGGGTGGGATATCATGATCTAACACTAAATATATAATTATAAGAACAGGGCGGAGTAGAACAAGAGCATGCTGCTGGACTCCAGGTACTGGGTGGGATATCAGGATCAAACACTAAATATATAATTATAAGAACAGGACGGAGTAGAACTAAGGCATGGTGCTGGACTCCAGGTACTGGGTGAGATATCCGGATCAAACACTGAATATATAATTATAAGAATTAAAAACTGAGGAGGACTCAGTCTCTGTAAAAGCAATCTCTTTTTCTTTGGTTGATAAGCTCGTTTTTGTTAAGGTAAAAAAAATCACTCAGCTTAACATAGACTTAGAATATTCATATTAAGAAAACTACATATTTAGGATTTCAGGAAAGTTTACAAGTTTTCCTTTCAACTTGATCAGTGCAAAATCAATGCAAATTATGTACTTTTTAATTTATTAATATAAAAATGAAATTTACCTGCTCTAAGACCAGGTTCCAAGTTGATGGCGTAGACCTGAAAAAAGGAATTTACGGAAAAGTTAAGAAAAAACCTTAATAACAATCGAATAAAGGGGGAGGTTGAAAAAAGTAATAATAAAAGAAGAGAAACAAAAGAATGGAGAAAACTGAAAGGAAGAGAAGGAAAAGCAAATGAAAGCTTAGAATTAAGAATTAAGCACTGGTCAGGGGAGAATATTTTAAAAGTTACCCCCCCCCCCTCTTAGAGGAATGATTTTTCAAGAAAATATTGACCCCTGTCAGCTGGTGGTAGGTTGAGGTTACCTAAGAATTGAAATGAATGGATGTTGGTTTGAACTGATACAGTAGGATGGAATATATTCACCAGTACTCTCTATACTCCTCTCAACCTAAAATGAAAATAAATTCAAAACAAAACAACGAATTTTTCTCTAAAACATTCTTGAAATAAAAAGTAACAAAAAAGTGAAAAAATATAGTGTTGTAATTTTAAGTGATTTATACTAAAATTTAAACATACTATCAGCGAGACACAAGACTTCCTAAGATGTGTTCTGTGAATGTGTCTAGTAAAAAATGACTCAGCTCAGTTTGTAAAATTCAAGATAAAAAGACTACAGTATATATGTTATTTAAAGTTACAATGGATGGTATTCTAAATTGTTTCTGACAGGTTTTTTATATTTTAAAGTCAAATAAAATAATCTTAATTACCCTTTCAACTTACCAGTTTTCCCAATAGTTTTCCAACGGCAGGAACAATTCCCTCAAAGGACATGCCATGACTACAAAAGTAATTTCAATTACAATAAATTTTATAAAATTGGATGATTTCAAATTGTGTAGACGTAAAGAAGAAATGCCAATAAAAATCAATACTTTGAAAGAAGCAAGTTAAATGCACCAAGAATCTCTAAATCTTAGTTTACATAAAAATTAACTGATGAGTCTAGAGCCGTTTCTACCCAACGAACGTATTAACAAGGTCCGTCCTAATGACGTACTTTAGTTGACGAAAGCTAGGTCCTTAGGTAACTCACGTTATAATTTTAAATGACAGATGATTAGGACGTACACAACCAGAAACGTCATCTGGTGTAGTCTTAGGAATAAACGTTATCTGGGGGAAATATAATTAAAACTCAACCTTGGCAGCACAAAGTTTATAAGGATTCATAAGGAATCCCCCAGAAAAGGGAATACATTTCAAATGTTAACAAAGATATTGAGGTTCTTGATGTAAAACCTTTGGAAAGCTAAAAAGAAAAAAAGCTCACCTTAGCAAGGAGAGAAGATGAACTATGGCAGGCTGGGGGGAAATATAGTTTAGATCAACTAGTTTTAACAGTAGATAGCTACAAGACTGAGAACATTCAACCTATACAATATATATATATAAAGATCCTGAAATATGCTAAAATGTTTTAATTTGAAGCCGATTCTTTAAATATTTATATATTATATGTTACTGAAAATTGAAAATATGACGGGAAACCAATAAATAATTGCCAGAACACAACCTTGAAGGCAATGTTTTTAATTTGAAGCCGATTCTTTAAATATATAAATATATATATATAAAAAAATAGAAGCAATTTTTTCGAACATTTAGCGAGAAACCCTAAAATTTACCTTTCCCTTAAAGAAAACTTATAATTCTTAAGTGCATTTCTCTGATGAGTAACTCCATTACTTGAAGAAACACTACCTACTACCTAGGTATGTGTAGTGCATAAATACTTTCAACTAAATGATTACTTTGTAATGTATCCCTTAAATTACCTGTGACGAACCAATTAGTTGCCAGATCAGTTTTAGTTCTTCATTTTCAGCTTCATTCTTTGTTCCTCTAATTATAGTGATAAAAATGATAATAACAATATAAAAATTATTAAAGTTAAAAATTAGGTTATAAATTGATTTATTAATAATGTGCTCAATAAATGTATATTTTAATTTAATTTATTACAAATCTCTATCCTATATTAAAACTGAAACGAGGTATTAAAAATTAAAAAGTGTATTACAAAAATATTTTTTTTAAATAAAAATTTTATTTCGGTATATTCCTAGAGAACGATTTTTGGACCCCCCCCCCTCCTATCAATTTTACACTAGGACAGACCCTTTATTTCAAAAAATGTAATATCATCAAAAGTTTACCAACACCATAGAGACTTACTTTGATAAAATATTATTAAATATTTTGTTTGCAGTTTGTAGAACACTTCCTTGTTTTCCAGCAACCATTCCGCTTTTTAAACTTTCCATAATTCTTCGAAAATAAATGTTTGATTTTAAATTTGCCTTCTATAGTTATAAACTTTGGTCTCTCAGTTTGAGATTCTTTTAGATTTCAATAAACGTCAAAACTATAAAACCGTTCGGGCCAAAACTCGTGTGGGACCTCACTTGAGCCCAGAGGCCGTTACTTCCACAAACTACATTGGTCGACAACTTGACGTCTCCTAAACTGGTCATCAAATGTACATGGAAATATTCATCAGATTAGAATTTCAAGTTAAACAAAGAAATGATGTTAACAATTGAAATGGGAGATGGGCGCAAAGCGTCCGTAAAGCCTCGCGAAAAGTATAAAAGGACTTGAATAATAATTTATCTGAAATACCACACCCTTCAGCTCCCATGTGATTACTTAATATAATAAGATTTCCCAGAGACCAGAAAAGCAGAATACTTGTTTTTCTTTTAGAAAAAGTTTGAAAGAAAACTCCTAAATAATTAACACGTCTACCGAATTTTTAAGGTTTCTTTAAATGATCGTTACTCGATCTAAATCTAGTATTTAGAAAAATAAAAACTGAATTAAAATTACTGGATGCAAACCAACGTGCTGAGGTTTCCAAAACAATGTTATTCTTTCCAAATTCACTTCAATTCACACAGAGACTTATAAAGTTTAAATATTTGTAATTGTTGCTCTTTAGAATTTCCAGAATTGACAAGTTTAGAGTTGCGGCATTTTGAAGTTTTAATGCGCATGCGCACTTTATAAAAAAAGAAATCATAAAAGAAAGACGATGTAAAGAACGTAAATACCTAAATACCTACCTAAGTACCTAAATTTTGGAAATTATGAAAAACAAATTTTAACAAACCTTTCACTGAAATTCTAGGAGGAAATTTGTTTATTTGATACATATATTGATGTGTGCTAAGAAGAGTGTATTACGACATTTTATAGTTTTATGATTCTTTTAGAAAAAAATTAACTTGACGCGGCAAAAAAATCAGTTAAAAAATCATGCCGGTCGAGAAAGTAGAGATTGCCGACGCAAACTTATTTGCACTAACGAAGGCCGGTACCTTGTTGATTATCTGACCCAGGGTTATGTTCTTGACCGGAATTTCTTTAACCTATGATAGATCTTTACGGACCCTAGATGACCGCTGCCACCGGCGTGTAAACAAATAAAAATCGCGGTCATCACATCACACCAGTCCCCCTCTCATTCAACCATTTCCCATTACATGAGGTCGCAATACATAAAGGGGGGGGGGGCCACAAAACGTATTACTCTCCGGAAAATTTAAACAGTGTTTAAACATAACTTAGAATTGTCGTAGGAGGCTGATTTTTTGCATGCAAACTCAGAATTATGTATATTACGTGCATTTTTTGGTTTTGAAGGAATCTGAGCAAAAGTGCGTGCGCGCGCGCGTTTTTTGTGAAAAAATGCGACTTTTTTGACAGTAAATCAATGTTAACTTCATTAATTGCACTTGAAAATTTTTCCTGACACTCTTGAAACAAATATGCGCTAAAAAAATTCAACCCAAAGGCTTAAATGTCCGCGCGCGCGCGCAATAAAAGAAAATATCTTTGTATACTAATGTGCTAAGTTTGGCCCAAGTTAGAATAACAGTTGCATGTGATACATCAAACTATAGCAAAATTGGGACAAGGAATTCATTTCCGAGGTCAAATTGAACATTGGAGCATTC